GAAGTATACCAAATGATTATATAGCATAAAGAGGTCTATGCTGCGGTATTAGAGACACCGTCAAATGAAATAGCTAATCAAATAGCGCAAATACATGAAATTTCTAAATTAAGAGAATGGGCAGGAGATATGTTTCAAGAAGAAACACTTCAAGAAGAATGGTTTAAAAGAAAAGATCGGGAATTAAAAGAACATAAAAATCAATACAATGAAGGGATAGGATTATCAGGAATGACAATTCCATTGGGAATGGAATTCGAAGATCCGGAAGTAACATTACTCGCAGAACAATTACAACAAATGACAGTTGCAGCGGAACATGAAGCACCACAGAATAAACAAGAAAAAAAATTAAATCAAATCTATATAGAAGGAGCACAAAGAGAAATAGATCAATTTAGAAAACAAGTAATTGAAAAGGATAATACTAAAAAGAAAAGAAAAGGAAAGGCAAAAAGCCTAAATATAACTTTTAACCAACAAGAAAGCAAAGTCAAATCACCCAAAATGGGAACATTTATTAAAACACAGTTGTCACAACTAGATAGAATCCTACAACTTGAAAAGGAACAAGAAGATCCAAGAATCAGAGCAGGATTAAGACAACTAAAACAACGATTAGAAAGTATGGAAACAAATTATAAATACGTTTCCCAATTAACAAAAGAACAAACTAACGAACACATCCAGGAAATTGAGAAAGTCACAAACAGAAAAATATTAGAAGCCGAAACAGCAGAAGACAAAAAAGCCTACCTATACAAAATGATATCCGCATTAACAGAAACAAAAGATGCTATTCTCTGAAAAAATAGAGATCTAGTCAAAGACTTAGAAGAAAAATACGGGTATGCTACTAATCAAGTATTAGCCCTAGACAGAAAAGATTTCGAAGCTATGAAAGAATACGAGCAACGAATCTTAATGGAAAGACTTGCTAGGCAAATGGAATTAAGCGGAAGCGAACCATTACAACAACAACTACAAGCAAAATATAGAGAACTACTAGGGGTATCATTAGAAAATTTAGATAAAATGCATGATGTAGAAGACGAAGAGGAACAAATGTTTCAAAAACAAATACAGGCCAGAAGAAAAGGCTTAGAATTACCAGAAATATTACCATTAAAAAATCCATATCATGAAGAATACAGACCAACAGAAAATAAACCACGAGACGTTGAAACACTAGAAGGCAGATGGCTATTAGATCACAACTTCGGACGAACAGTAGAATGGATAAAAGAACAAGATGAAAACCAGTATTCAAAAATACCAGAACAATCAATATCAAGAACCTCTACCAGACCAAGTTCACCGACGTCACCAACATTCCTTGACAAAGCAAAAGGAATGGTACAAGGTACTTTAAGTGCAGCACAACAAATGCTAAGTAGGAAAAACTCAATGCAATCAACACAATTATCATCTCACTCTAAACAACACCAACATAAATCGTCACCACTGATAAAAGAAGTTCAACCAACTGATATAATATCAGAATCAAGCAGTTTTTATGCACCGACAAGTGATAACGACGATGAAAACCAACCAAAATTACCTAAATATGGTCACAAGAGACAAAGGTCACAATACTCAAATCAATCTTCCACAAGAAACCCTAGATTAGAACAATTTAGAAGAGAAAATCAACTAAGACAAGAACTATTCAGGCAAACAGAACAAGAACAATTAACACCAGAAGAAGCACAACAAATGGCTGAACTAGATGA